AATACATGTACTTTACTTTCATACAATAAAAGTTTCCATGAGAAAAGTTTCCAAGTGTGTTTTTTATCCGAAACAAAGAAACACCGAAAGAGTTAGTAAATATAAAAAAATCAGATATTAGCCATGTACCATTGCATGTCTCTATATTTAAAGACTTGTTAAGACATGCATTTTACTTAATTTACGCAAATGACAATAAATTATCTTTTTAAAAGCGACAAACATCAAAAATCGTTGCAGTTTTAACATCTTGAAATATCTGATAGCGATTTGTCGATAAAGAGTGACTCATTGACATGATCTTGTCTGTTCGATAGCACAAAGATTATACATTGCCAGTTACTGTGGAATAATCTGTTAAATGATTTAAAATTCATTCATTTAAGACTGCTCGTACAATTGTTAAGGTTTCAATAGAAATACAATCATGTCAGATAGTTTTAATGTACTCATGAACTGATCAAAAACGCTTCATTTGCTCATGTCATTTTGAATGACGTAATGCTTTTGTTGACAATATTATTGGCAAATGTGCAATTAATAATGATAGAAGGTATGTTATAAAGTTGGCTTTGTTCAAGCTAATGGTCCATATGCCACGCAGTATATGATCGCAAAACTTGTATGTGGGGGCGTTTGCGTTTTGTAAAAGTCTTCGCTGCATATCATTCAAACTTTGTTCTGTTTTAAATACGTATTCAGTAAAAATAATTTTAGACGTATTGTTTACGAAATTAAATTAACAATGCAATACTTCTATGACTCTTGTGGTTATAATCACACAAACTCGGAAACGAGCTTTGTGGCAAGGGTCAGAAATCATGCAAAGATTGAAATATAAATTATTTATGTGTGCAAACATGAAAAAGAAATGTTGACATTAACAAAATCATGATAACGGAGTATCAGAATCAAATAGAGTATGCTATCATGCAAAATTATATGAGTTATATTAATAAATAAATAAACGATCAAGCTTATAAATAAAAGCACCGGCTCAACAACGATCATACATTATTTTAAATATATTCAACTGATACAATGAATCATTTTTTTAAAACGAAACAATCAAGTGAAACAATTTAATCTATCATTTGTATCGTTAACAGATATTCCCAAAACTCAAAACAATAAATGAATTATCAAAAACTGATTTTGTAAAAACAATAAAAATCATTCAAAAGATAAATAATGATTACATGTACTTCCTTTGGTTATGATTTTTTTAATTGAAATGTTAAAACATTATTAGGACAATTTTGGTGTAACATTAAGGTAAGACAGTATCTTAAGTTATGATATTTAAACTTAAAAACTTTATAGCAAACTATGCGAAATATTTACAAAACAAGAAAAAAAATACAAAACTGTTCATAAAAAACGTTAATTTTCTACTTACATTTATTTGCTTCATTCGAAAGAAAGTCTGCCGTCATTCCATCACAAAATTAAACAAGTCCGTGCCGCTTGATTTATTTCATTTTGCACATTGTTAGTTTCGATTTCACTTTGGTAATATATCTAGCAGAAAGTAAATCAATTGCAGGTAGGTGTAAAATGTTTTCAAAATGTCCGGGTAAGTTATTTTTTTATATGATGTTTCCAAACTGATTTCATTTTCAAATTAATTGATATAAACTTAAGCAACATGTCAAGGATATGTTTCGGAACTTAACCCAATAATTTACAGTTAATTTTTCTGAGCATTTGAATGCAAATTTGTAAAAATATTTACAAAATGATACCGACAACACTTTCTGTTTGCTAACCTTTGTTTTAACCATCTTGTTCTATTAACTTTCAAACATTTTCGTGTGTCTAAGGAACTTTGGAGTCAGAAATAAACAGTTTGATTTATTTATACCGTCCAAATACTAATTTGATTCGTTAGACAATATTTGTAAAAAAAACTTGTGGCAGACAAAAAAAATTATCATGCAAGGCTAGTTTGCTGACGATATTTGAATAGAGCTAGGTTATGTTATCTTTTATTGCTGTTCTGATTTATAGAAAAGTGTTTAGTATACGCGAAAGAAGTTTATAAATGTAGAATGTTTATCTAAATAAAAGCACAAGTATTAAATAAGTAGATGAATTTATAGTGTATAAAACTTTGACCAATGTTTCACAGTAATAAAATTCAATCACTTAGATCTTTTAGAAAAAGGTTTAAATGTTTTTTTACAAGGTAGCCTTGTAAAATTGTATGTGATCATAACAAGGTTATGGTTGTAATATTACCTTATTATCTCTTATTATCTCTTATTATCTCTTTACATTGCATTGCCTAAAATATTGAAAAGAGTGTCCTGTGTGACTGTGTATAAATATGTTCAGTTGTAATATATAAAACGGTATGTTATAAAGTATGGCATTTGTTCAAACTTTATGGTCCATATCCACGCAGATATGATCGCTTTAAAACAAACGTAAGGGCGTTTGCGTTTTCTTAAAGCTTTCGCTGAATATCATTTAAACTGTATACGTATTCAGTAAAAACACTTTTTGACGTATTGTTAACAAACCTTAACAATACTTTAATGGCCCTTGTGATTTTAATCACGCAAATTGGGAAACGAGTTCTGTGGCAAGGGTTAGTTTAAGGTCATGCTAAATTTGAAATATAAATTATTTATGTGTGCAAGATGAAAAGGAAATGTTGACATTTACAAAGTCATGATAACCGAGTATAAAAATCGAATCAAATATGTTATCATGCAAAGTGAAATGATTTATATCAATCAATAAATAAACAATCAAGCTTAAAAATAAAAAAAAAAAAGGAATCAAGTGAAACAAGTTCAAAAATTATTTCATTGTAAATAGATATTGCAAAACCACAAACAATAAACTGAATTCAATGAGTATGCATATAAACAAAACTGATATTGTTATAACAACTAAAACAATTCATTCAAATAGATAAAGGTTGTTTTCAAACGTATGATTACTTCATTTTGGTTATGAACTATAAAACTAAATGTTAAACATTCATAGGATAATTTTACATCATCATTAAGGTACTTTATTTTATAGTGGATAAAATCATTTATAAAATTGATACAGTAACAATACTTTCACAAACTTTAATAGAATATAACATAATAATACAATAAAATAAAACATTAAGTTTCTGTTAACTGCTTCATGCGAAAGAAAGTCTGACGCCAATCCAACATACTATAAAACAAGACCATGCTATTTTAATTTTGCACATGGTATGATCCAATTTCACGCTGGTAATGACTTGCGCATTTCTCGATATCAAAAAGGAAGTAAATTAACTGTTTTTAAAAATGTCTTGGTAAGTTATTTTGTCATTTGTTTTATTTCATGAACTGGTTTCGGTTTACAACTTTAGTAATTCATATAAAGCAACATGTCAAAAATATATTTTGGAATTAAATAATTATTTTACTTATATTCTTTTTACTTTTATCTGACGATTTGAATATTCAAGTGCGTCATATATTTACAAAATTTTACAGATATCACGCATTGTTGCCTAACCTTTGCTTTAGTCTATTTTGTTCTTTTGTCTTTTATACATTTTCGTGTTTAAATGCACGTTAAAGGAGCTTTGGACTCGGAAATAAACAGTTTAATTTATTTTTACTGTTCAAATGCTATTTAGATTTGTATAAACTGAATTTATACAATATTGATCACTTCATTTTGCGACAAACACGTATAAATATTTTACAAGGACAACACACAGAGAAATATTTGAATACAGCTAGGTTATGTGATACTGCTTTGCTGTTTTTATTAATAGACAGGTTTTCGGGTTTACGCGTAACAGGTTTTATAAGTTGAGAGTGTTTATCTAAATACAACCCTAACATGTATATAAGTACGAAATTAAGATAAACTTTCGTATATGAATTTATAGCTTATAAGTTTAACATATAGAACAGGTGACATATGTTGCACAGTTACAAAAAGGAAAATCAATACGGTAGATCTTTAAAAAACAAAAAGGGTATAAAAGGTTTAAAGAATGTTTCTTTAAAAAAAAGCCTTGATAAATTGTATGTGATCATAACAAGGTTATATAAACATTGGTTGTAATTTTACCTTATTGTCTGTTTACATAGCATTACCACACTGTTTTATTAACTACTTAAATATTGAGAAAAATATTAAGTGTCTCGGTGTGAAACATAAAACCTAAAGCCAAAACGGCTATTGATAATGGTTGTTTTACGTTGCACCAACACGGTTAAGGTCGTGAGACGTCTGTCCAGCTTTAATGGTAAAGGAAGACATCAGGTGCCCTTGTGCATTATTTCAGGCACACACGGACCCCTGAGTAGAATCACCGACGTTCCATAAGCTAGCTCGATATTTTCCTCACATGAAAGAATCCAAGAATCTTTCGCGGCTCGAACCTACAGCAGTGAGAGATAAGTGGTTTGAAGTCAACGACATAAACCACTCGGCCATGGACATCCCACTTTTATCAGTCAAATTGAAATTAAATTCTTCTCTTTTCATCAAAAATGTATCAAATATTCAGTTGTAAATATACTGTTTACAAAACACAACCAAATTCTTATACTGATATTCTTGCTGAACATGCTGCAATAGAATAATTTTTCAACCTGATACTTTGAAACCAAGTGATTTTATTTCACTTGAAACAATCTTTCTCTTAAAGCAACATATGTTAAAAAAGCTACAATTTTGAAACATTGTTCTCTGAAATAAACATACATAATTGATGTATGTAATGAAGCAGGTAGGTTAGCATATCGAAATCTTTTTACTTTCAATAGAGCCTGTTTGAAGATATAATAAAGGGTGATATAAACAAGATATTGAACTACTCATATTTTCAGGAGATAAATCAAATAGTTACCCTAATCACAAATATGTGTCCATTTTAACTACTAGGACTAACACAAAATGAATCGAATTAAATGGTTAATTTCTAAGGAAAAAATAATCTTGTTCTTATGTTTATAGCAGATGTATGAGGATGGAAAAATGACAAAAGGGAAGAGATGGTGACACAAAACTAATATTACAGTTAAACAAATTTATGTCAGCGCGATTGGATTGGCAGAATGTCTAGAGTTACGTTGAACAAAAATAGTTCCATCAGACGTCGCCAGTCTCGATCATTGCATAATAACTGCGATTCAAAATCAAAAGCAGAGCCAAGAACAGTTGACATTGTTGAAGTTATAGCAGTCAATAATGATAAATGCTCCGTTCTTATATCTATTGAAGCTATAACTGAAAGATTTAAGGACGGTATTGTTCTTTTTGACAATGGTAAGATTTTTGTTTATCTAAACAAACATAGCACTTATCGGACGGCTTTAGAAAATGTTCCAGACAAGCATATAAAGAACTTGTCAGAAATGCACGATGTATGTGCTTTATACGAAGTTTTCATAACATATCGAAATGAAATGGGAAAGATACAGATAATACCCAATAATCTGTACTGTGGATCAATTTTCCAACACCTACACGAAGAACGAATCAAAGCATTTATAACGATCGTAAATTTTGATGAGCTAACAAGATCAGAAAATATTACTCAAGCTTTTGACATGTGCGAAAATTGTGAAACAAAAAGTTTCGTGGGACCTATGGTACGTGAGTGCAACTGTCAGAGCAAAGGAATCGATTTCCGTAAAATCAAAGATGAGGAAAAGTGGTTAAAAAGTGAAGAAAAACTTTCGCTTACGAATACAAAAAAGAAAATATTTCGCAGCCTAAAAAAAGTTCCTATTCTTTTTCAATATCTTACTCCGCTTCAAAAATTACCGTGTCTTATTCCACGAGAAATAAAAAAGATTTATCCAATAGGTCCATCATTTCATGGACAATATAATCAACCAGTACATGCAAGTGATGAGCACGGATTTGACGAATCTCACAGTGAACAAGTAATATCCACTGATCATTCGCTTCCCTTTAATAGTGGTACTACGTTTGTTATTGGTCAGGAATCAAGTATACATCATTATCGTAACAATTATAGCGCCCTAGGACTTAACAATACACACCTTCTTGCCAGAGAAACAAATAATACACCTCAACGAAGACCACGACCTTCTGCAAAATATCCAAGTTATGACAACTACGCTGAGAGGCTTGTGTCATATGCGAGATGGACTCACAGACGTCCAGAGCCAACCACTCTTAGTGAAGCTGGGTTTTTCTTCACAAGTAAGTAGTTGTTGAAATATGTTTAGTCTGTTGAGGTCAGTGGTTGCAATTTGTAAATAATTAATGCAAAAAATTGTTCTTAATACTAGACGTAACCAACCCGCTTTTTTAAGTTCGACCTATTACATTGCAGTCTTTATAGTTCTTTTCATTCCGGAAATTGAAATATAAAAGCCATAACAGTTTTTATCTCACATGAAATGTAAATAATAGAATATATTGTTTAGGAAGTACCGGTAGTATCTCCTGATAAAGCCATTGTAAGTGAGATTGTTTATCTTTCAATTTGTATGTGACACAATGACATAGAAGTTAACATTATTAAAACTTCATACATTTACACATATCAAGGAATATGGTACATGTTTCATTAAACATTATACATTCAATATTTATGTACATATCAGATGATAGTGATCTGGTTCGTTGTTTCCAATGTGGTATCGGACTCAAAGACTTTTCAGAAGATGACGATCCAATGCTAGAGCATGTTCGGCATTCTAAAAACTGTCCCTTTCTCCCAGAGCTTCTAGGTGAGGAAGTTCTGACAAGGTACAAGGTGAGGGAAATTTTGTCTTTATTTTAACATTTATGTTAACTCATATATGTAAATTTATCAAAGTGACTCGTTATTAATAGTTTTGATGGAGGTAACTGTCGTTATGTCACTGTGTAGTATTACAAAAAAAGTCAATATGTGCGAGAGAACGTTTTTTGAAAAACAATTAATTGATATTTAAACTGTTTATTTTTCTAAATCTTATTGTATATACTTCAGGAACGTCTTCAAGCTATTGACCCTGAATACAATCGTCAACAACAATGGGCTCGTAAGTACACCATGCATTGTTTCACTGAATCTGTATCAATATTTATATTCCAATTAACTATCTATGTTACTTCTTTGATTTTTTTATCAAAGTTCAAATTGATTTAACTGATCTTCAACTGATATTCAATGAAAAATTACATCGAAATAATACCTCTAAATCAAAATTAAAGCCAGGTTTTGTCATATACATCTTTCTCTACTGGCATAATAACATCTTGTGCGGCTTTCATTTTCATTATAGGGCAAACCAAAAAATAATTGATGTTTCCCTATCGCAAAATAAAGAAGAGTGCTATTAAATGGCATATCGACTGCTTAATCTACGTTTCACAAATATTTTCTTTGAGAAAATGATAGATATCTGTATGGAATTTAACTTGGGCTAGTTGCAATTTTTTACCAATCAAGCATTTATGTTTTCTTATCTTTTCTATAAATAAATTATTTGTAGTCATCAAAACTTGAATTATGTTTTTACTAATAATATTGTTTATTACATGCCATCTTGTATATCATGTAATCAAAATAATTTCGATGGTGTAAAATGATGGCATGATAGTTTATTATTTATCTTTTATAATAGATTTAAAACAAAATTAACGTATATCTGGATAAAAGGAATATTGTATGACGACTTACTGAATGCTAATTAGAATTAGGTTATTAAAAGGCTATCAGTAATAATTCACGGAAAAAAAACGTTCAATTTGGTATAATTCCAGTCTCGATAAAATGTCTATTCAAAATGCCCCAATTGCGAAAACAGTATTTGTGAAGTGAAGTACCCTATGGTGGATGTTAAAAAAACAGTTCAAATTCACTAATCGTTTATTTCCGTTTTAAATTTCTTTCGTTTTAGAAAGCAAAGAAAATTCAATAATACAAATTTGTCATTCATTGCCCATATATTCTTCTAGCAAACATTTCTAATGTATGTCGTTTTAGAAAGACAAAACGGGACAGTAACGAGATCTGAGATCCGACACCCTGAATACCAAACATTAGAAGCCCGTCTTAGATCCTTTACAAACTGGCCAGAACATATGATACAAACTCCACAACAGTTAGCCGATGCAGGTCTTTATTACACTGGTAAGACAAAGACAATATACTAATATTTAGTTTATGTTATCAAAAAATACCAAAGCGACATTGACAAGAATTTAATTATTTTGTGAAGTAAAATTTATGGTCAAATCTTTTGGTAGTTTCAATTATAAATTCTAATCTGAAATGACATTTGTAACGCATTTCTATTAAGCTTCACTTATGTTTCATTACATCTGCTGTATTATTTTTCAATTTGATTTATCTTAGATAAATGCCTTATAGTCTATATTTGTATATCTATACCAGCAGGTTTAATTAATGATATCAAAGAAAGGTTTATTTTTAAAAGTCTGCCTCGATCAGAGTCATTATTTCTGTCAATCTATGGACAATATTCTCTCGTTTGACAAACGCGTAGGTTGCGAAGATCAAGTCCGTTGTTTTGCTTGTGATGGAGGTTTACGACGTTGGGATGCTGAAGACGATCCTTGGACAGAACATTGTCGTTGGTTCCCCGCTTGTCCATTTGCTTTGGAACAGAAGGGAGAACAATTTATAGCTTTAGTTCAGGCGTCTGTTGAAAACCAGGCAAGTCTGAATAATTTTTAGCATAAAAAAGCATATTAATATGTTTTGATTTATTTTTAATGTAAGGTTTATTCCATCTTCCATGTTAATATCAGAGTGGTAAACATTTCATTTTACCTTCATGTATATGATTGTTTTTGTTTGAATTTCGTTTAATCTCTACCCCATTTTAATAATATGATACATAAAGATACATGAACTGAAATGACTGTCATATGTAACATTTTTATATCAGTAACATATAATAGGCAGTAATGCTCAACTAAACTGTACTTGCTACAAATATTCTCTCCAATGGCGCATACATTTAGCTATCTTAAGACAAACTAATCCAATAACATAAGTCTGAATTGTTCAATTTTCATTGGAAAGGAATTCGGAGCAAGCGGTGGTGGAGAAGATATATCTCCAGCCATGGAACTTTTAAGAATTAAAGAATCAGCTTTTGAAGCTATTATGAGTCAGCATAAAACAGATTTACTGGAAATGGGCTACAAAGAAGACATTATGAAAGAATCTATAAATGAACTTTTAGATCGAGGTAAAAGAAATTCCTATTTTAAACATTTATTTTGTTGTAAACAAATGCTCACTGAAATCTTATTACATTTTTAAAACGGATTGGATTGCTTTACACGTTAAGACGATTTGAATGAATTGTAACTCTTTTATCTATTTCAGGAAAAGAGAAGCCTACAGTAGAGGAGATTATTGATTTAATAGATATAATAAGAGAAAGGAAATCGAATAATAGACAAACATCAATGGCAAATGGTAAGTAAGAATATGTTTTTTATGTTTACAATACAGAAATATTTTAGGGACAGGAACACTACAATTGTTTGATTTTTCTAAGTTAATTTTAATATTAATTGTCAAATATGCTTTCACTGAAATATTATACATTGTAATACGTGTTACTTTTAGGTTGTATTGTATTCGACTTCTTCTTCTGAGACACATAATTAACGCAATGATATACATATTTTCAGAAACACCTTTGGAGGAAAATCAGCGGCTTAAAAGTATTGTTTATTGCATGATATGTCGTAAAAACACTGTCAATGCATTGTTTTTACCATGCGCGCACCATGAATTATGCATGACATGTGCAGATCCTTTCGACACGTGTCCAGTTTGTCACAGAGTGATTCGAGAGAAAATCCGCACTTTTATGGCCTGAGGTTTGACGAGTACCGTATATCAAAACAGATTCTTAATACTTTACAGACATTATACTGCTTTGCTTATATCCTTATTATTTAATTACATGTGTATGACACTTGTATATGTGTTAAACCGGCAATGATAAGGAAACATGAACATAAAGCAGAGTTAGTTAAGGAAACATGAATACATAGCAAAGTTCATCTTGACTGTTATATGTTATGAATAACACCTTAAAGCTGCATTAAATAAATATTTAAAAATATTGAGCCGTCGGCCTAAAAACCAAACATTCTACAGTTTTATTAACCTTTTTAACAGTATGTTGTAAATCTCATCAAATATTGTTCATAAATTACAATTTTAAACGGAAAACCCCACAGTAACACTAAAGTTGGTATACGAATTTTATCACGCACATGAAAACTATTATCCGCTCGTGTATGCGCTACGTCACAGTATTAAAGTTGCTATCCCGAACACAGCAAACAGTTTAAGCTTCAAGGTGCATTAGACCTGGCGTTAAGAAAAAAAGTAATCATCTCATTAAAAAAGATTTAATTTGTATGAAAACATCCGTTACAATGCAGAAATATACTGTTATGTTAGGACTGCTACTTATAGTCTTGCTTGTTGATTCAATATTGATGTACGGATTATCCGAAGGCGGAGTTTCTCTTGCAAACAGAAATTGTACTTCCTTTTCGCCACAAGGAGGTTGCATATTTTAATGTTTGATGCTTAAAAACTCGTTTCGGTTGTCTGGACACCAAAATAAGATCTGGAGTCGATATGAAACTCAATTTATTATTGAAATGTCGCTATTTCTGTTTTTATGATATTTATTAAATGCAGCTTTAACAAATAAAACTATTTTATCTTCATTTACCTCGTATTCAACACATGTATAGTCATCGCAGTACCAATTTGTCAACTCATACGTTATCAAAGCAAATTATTGACATGTATGTTTGCCTTACAGTTTGAAATATACCTAGTACGTTTTGAGCACAATGCGCATATCTAAGCTAAGCTATTCATATTTGAAGAACTTAGTAATGGTATGCCATGTTTTCATAAGTTCATTAATGTTTAACAAACTTTCCTGATGATATTGTCATTGTAGTATTGAGTAATATGATTAAGGTTTCAAATTTGATATCAAGGTACTTGAGAAATGATAAAGGTATTACGAATGGTCTTTTACACGTTTTCAATCATCACTGAATTATTTTTTTTAAAGAACCAATCTGTTCAATTCAGTCTTAAAAGAAAAGATGTTTTACTTGAATTGACATTTTAATTGTCATATTTGCAAGTGGCCATAAAAGAGGCAACCAAGTCAAGTACATTTTGGTTCTATCTTAACCATTGCGACTTCTCCATCAATCCGGTGCGTGCACGTCGCGAGAAGGCACATGACAACGACAAACGCCATAAACAAATAAATCACGTTGTAACCATGTATTAACAATCACGTTGTTTATAAAAACTACTCGTTTTCGTATGTTATGACTAAAGCCGGTCTTGTTGATCCTCTAGTATATCTAGGATATAAGTTTGCCATTTGCGTTCATTGTTGCTAACTATTTTAAAGATAAATGAGTCAAGTTATAGAAACTAAAATTAAGACTTTTTACGTAATTATTACATGTTATTACATGTGAACTATTTTGCTCAACTCAGATGTGTATGAAATGAATTAAATGATAAATCAAATAAATAAATCTGATTTTCATAACTCACCAGCTGTAACTAAAATTATTTGTATTTTTTGTTTGGTTTGTTTGTTGTTGTTGTTTTTTTGTTTTTGTGTGTGTGTGTTGTTTTTTTAGCTCACCTGAGCTTGCTCAGGGTGAGCTTTTAGGATCGGTGAATGTCCGTAGTCCGTCGTACATCGTCCGTCGTACGTCGTCCGTCGTCCGTCGTACGTCCACAATTGCTTGTGAACACTCTAGCGGTCGCATTTTTGCCTCAATCATCATCAAACTTGGTCAGGATGCTTATCTAGTTGAAAGCTCGGATGAGTTCGAACATGGCTTATATCGGATGAAAAACTAGGTCACAAGAGCTAAAAATAGAAAAACCTTGTGAACACTCTAGAGGTCACATTTTTGACCCAATCATCATCAAACTTGGTCAGGATGTTTGTCTAGGTGATAGCTCGGATGAGTTTGAACATGGGTCATCTCGGATGAAAAACTAGGTCAAAGGAGCTATAAATAGAAAAACCTTGTGAACACTCTAGTGGTCACATTTTTGACCCAATCATCATCAAACTTTGTCAGGATGCTTGTTTAGATAATAGCTCGGATGAGTTCGAATATGGGTCATCTCGGATGAAAAACTAGGTCACCGGAGCTATAAATAGAAAAACCTTGTTAACACTCTAGCGGTCACATTTTTGCATCAATCATCATCAAACTTGGTCAGGATGCTTATCTAGTTGATAGCTCGGATGAGTTCGAACATGGGTCATCTCGGATGAAAAAGTAGGTCACCAGAGCTAAAAATAGAAAAACCTTGTTAACACTCTAGCGGTCACATTTTTGCATCAATCATCATCAAACTTGGTCAAGATGCTTGTCTAGGTGATAGCTCGGATGAGTTCAAACATGGGTCATCTCGGATGAAAAAGTAGGTCACCGGAGCTTAAAATAGAAAAATCTTGTTAACACTCTTGCGGTCACATTTTTGCATCAATCATCATCAAACTATGTCAAGATGTTTGTCTAGGTGATAGCTCGGATGAGTTTGAACATGGGTCATCTCGGATGAAAAAGTAGGTCACCGGAGCTAAAAATAGAAAAACCTTGTTAACACTCTAGCGGTCACATTTTTGCAGCAATCATCATCAAACTTGATCAAGATGCTTGTCTAGGTGATAGCACGGATGAGTTCGAACATGGGTCATCTCGGATGAAAAACTAGGTCACAGGAGCTAAAAATAGAAAAATCTTGTTAACACTCTAGTGGCTACTGTTGTGATCCAAATATTCTGTTAATTGGTCTGAAAGTTTGTTTTGATGATTTCTAAGTCAAGATCGAACATGGGTCATCTTGGATGAAAAACTAGGTCACACCGCCCAAATATGGAAAAACATTGTTAACATTCTAGTGGTCACATTTTTGACTCAATTATCATCAAACTTGGTCAGGATGCTTGTCTAGGTAATTGCTTGGATTAGTTCGAAATCGCATGTGAAACTAGGTCACCGGAGCTAAAAATAGAAAAATCTTGTTAACACTCTGGTTGCTACTGTTTTGATCCAAGTATCCTGGAAATTGGTCTGAAAGTTTGTTTTGATGATTTCTAGGTCAAGTTTGATTATGTGTCACCTGGGTAAAAGACTAGGTCGCACTGCTCAAATATGGATAAACACTGTAGTGGTCTTATTTTTGACCCACCTGTCATGAGACTTGGTCAGAATGCTTGTCTAGGTAATTGTTTGGATGAGTTTGATAAGTCAGGTGAGCGATCTAGGGGCATCATGGCCCTCTTGTTTAATATAACACCAAAAACTGTTTATGATCTTGGACTTCAAAGATAAGCAGGAAAAGTTGAACAGACAAATCAATAATAATTAGTCAGCAAAATAATGTTGTAATGTTTAGAAATGTTTACTATCTTTGCGGTGTTTTCATTTTGCAAACTTTGCTGTCAACACTCAAAGATAATGTTTTGCAGCCCAGTTGGTCGAACCTTTGAGGCAAATACATATATTTTTAGTTTCATGTTTCAAAACATACATTTACATTTTATTATTTTTATTGAACAACACTAAATCTTAATGCAATATTTTGAATTAACTTTTCAAAATACTTTGACAATATTTTATTAAATAGAATGTAGTTATCACAATATATATTTTGACCTTTTATAGTGTATTAAATAGTTTTTTGTATCTTATTAAGTGTTGAGTATTTTCATACACCAATAAAAAGCAAGTTTAATACTTTATGACAAAGCCTACCGATTTGCAGACACTTGTTCACTTATGTTCATGAAGATCAATGTTGAAATAGCATGTATATGCGTTTAGTAAACAATTTTGCATAAACAAAAGAACTTCCTGTGGGACATATTTGCTTACATAAATGTGGGTTTTTGCTCTCGTCGAGAAAAACTTGTAAACGTCTATTTAGAACATACTTGATTAACTTTTTGTAACTGATGCAGACCAACACCAGCCGGGATACCCGTGCAGTCTAATCAAGGTCTATCCATCCGTCCATTACTTCAGGCACGACTGGGCACCTGAACAACACCATCGACGTTCCGTGAGCTACATGGATAGCTCCCCATATGAACGAATTCAAGGCTACTCGACACCGGAAAGGGGCGTGTGATTTGAAGTCAACGAGCGACCTTAACCATCCATTTGGCCACGGACGCCTCCAGTTTCCATGATAAGGGTTAATATACTTGTTACATTTTAAACGTAGGTTGTCAAGATGTATTAATTAAAACCTTTCATCAGTTTCGTGTTGTCATCAGATGCTATGTTAGCAAGGATTTATTGGCGCCTAATCTTATCTGTATTGACAAACAAAGAGAGACAAAACTTCAAATTCACCTATAAAAATACGTCAATTTCTAAAACGTAACTGAGTTTAATATAGACCAGTGAGTTTGTCCAATTATTTAGTTTTAGTATTTCATCCAAAGTTTCTCATTATAGCAAGATCGAGCATTACGGTAACGCGAGTATCTGTAAAAGTGATGGTTTTAAAATCTTTGGCCAGAAGTACAGACGTATACAGAGACTTAAATATGGTTTCATGTCCTATCAATTTGGAACTACGACAGACTTCAGTACGACATGGGTCATTGTCTCATTATCTAAGAGTAGACATTACGTTCTTTCTGTTTCTACAGCCATTACGATAAGTATACAATCATTATATTAATAATGTCCTGTTTACCATTTTTTGATTTAGGTGAACCTTTACTCGATATCTTGGAATTTTATCATAGTTTGGGGACCTTTCTGTTGAAAATGTGTCAAAATAAATTCGTATACATATACCCGCACAATGCGTTAACTGGAGTGCAGGTTTTAGTTACCCTCACTCCAGGGCATGCCCATTGTTTGGCTCATTTTAGCTGGAGTTTACTTATTGTGACGACAGAGAAAGGGAAAGCGATGGAAATATCATATTCAGATGCTCGTTCATTTGTTACTTTTTCTGGGGTTTAATATTATGACAACAGGATGTGTGGTTTTATGTTTGACTAGGATACAAAAAAGAAAGAACATCAAAACACTCGGCAATCTGATAAAAACTCGGCGGCTACGTCCCCTCATACAAATCAGATAGCCTCTTGTTTCGATGCTCTTTCTATTACTAAACTTACTCAATAACTTTCAGCATTAAATACTGTTTGTTTACAAGATATGTTTTTAGCGTAGGTTAGACTCAAATATCATATTTGTTCTGTGTATACGTTCTATTGCGTTCGAGGTCTTTATTTGAATTTACACATAAAAGGCTGAATATTTGTCTATAATTTGCTTTTTTCATTGTATAGAACTACATTTATATCATATACCGTATATGATGATGCGATTTTGGCATTTTGATAAAACGGAAAGGAAATGATTTGTAATAACTGATGTTCAGGGGAAAGGATGGATTTGATCCAAAGGCCAGTTGTTCATGGACATGCTATTCTTTGACAGCAAGTATTCATACCGTAGTATTGACATCGTCATTGAGATATGAAAAGTAAGTATTTAATACGCCAGAGTTTGACCAGGAAGTGTTAATCAGCCTGCTAAGTGAATAAGAATTACAAAGGCTTCAGCCCGAAGGACATAACTCTTTTTCTTGCATATCAGACTGGCGTTTCCGTGAGTTTTACCCATGCCGGAAATTTCATCTGGCATGGGGGGTTCCAGATGAGTCGCGTGCTGTACAATGGCACGATTAGGATGACGTCATTTTACCGTTATGAATGAAGTTGTAATTCATACGCCGTTGTAAGAAAGTAGTTATGGTTGTAATGATATTAATTTTCATTGAAAATAAAGATAAAGAATTTAAAGTATAATGGAATATGGTAGAATATGCAAGAAAAAATATCTGACATATGTTTGCGGTCCGGATCGGAATATCCGTCCCTCGGTCACCCGCCCATGGGCGGTAACTCGGCAAGCCTCGTTACCGCCCAATGGGCGGGTCACCTCGGGACGGATATTCCGATCCGAACCGCAAAATATGACAGATATT